TTTGTTCGTGGAATCTCTGCCTACACCTGTGTCTTCATGTGCTGGAAGTGGCTGAAGATGGAAATTGGTCATATGTATGAGGACAAGGTCACAGTGCTTAAAACAGTTAAGCTACCTCAGTCTTGAGAAAAGCATCCCACCTGGACAATTTTAATCATTAGTAGGTAGGCAACCTTGTGTCTTATAATACTAACTTTGTCCCTACTGTTGTTGTTCAGGCAGATAGGCCTCCATCTGAACCCAGTTTTTGTCCCTTGTCTATATTTTCCTCAATCCTGCCACTGTTTCTCCCTACAGTGTACTGAGAGACCAACAAATCCCTACATTCAAGATTTCTTCTTGATTTCTCTTCCAGTAGATTCAGTGTTTCTGTTTTAACACTTAAATCTCTGACCTGTTTGACTTCAGTTTAGTGCATGGGGATAGACGTAGGTTTAGTTTTAGTCTTCAGCATGTAGAGAGCCAGTTTTTCCAACACGATTTATTAAAGAGGTTGTCTTTCTTCTAGTGAACATATTTAGACCCTTTGTCAAAGATAAGGTGGCTGAGTGTATTTGTAGTTTTGTTTGCACCTTCTCGTCTGTTCCATTGTTCCTCAGGTCTGTCTTTATGCCAGTACCATGCTGATTTTATCACAGTAGCTTTGCAGTGCAATTTCAGGTCAGGGATTGTGATACTTCCTGCTTTTCCACTGTTGCCCAGGATTGCTTTGCTAGATTTCTTCTGGTTCCAAATGAATTTTAGAAATGTTTTTTCAAGTTCCTTGATTTATGCTAATGCTATTTTGACTGTGATTGTATTAAATCTGTATAATTAGGGGAGTGTGGCCATTTTCATAATGTTGGTTCTTATCTAAGAGCAAGGGATGTCTTTCCATTTTCTGATCCCCTTCAATCTCCTTTTGGAAATTGCATTTACATGCTGAGCTCAGCATGTAAAAAGTGTTGCATTCCTCATCTTTCTTTCCACCTGAATTTCCTGTGATATTCTCTTGGTCCCTGTGGACCCATCTCTAGTACTACCCTCCTCTCATGCTCTTATTTACTACTCGTGTTGTTGATGACTTCTCTGCTCATTTTGCTATTGCTAAGTGATGGTCGATAAACCCATCTCCATTATGAGTCATTTATTTATTTCATCCTTTAGGTTATTTGTGTTTTGGTGATATTTATGAAGGCAAATATATTAATAGTGAATTAGCTCATGTTTATATTCATTCATATTGACAACTATATGCTAATAGATACATTAGAAGTACCGGTAATACATATATTTAAAAATTTGTCCAGTGAATTTTATATTACACTAATACCATGGTACACAAGTCCTATTCTCAAACAAAAGCATGTGAAGAAATTTTGCTTTTATTCATGAACTCCAGCTGACAAATTCAACCAAACACATCTTCCACAAAATCATAAAACAATTTAAGTTTGTGAAACCAGGGACTGTTGTATATTGTATGAGCTTGAGAGAATTAGAATATATCATATTTCTTATTCTTTGAATTTAATGCAGTTCACTTGGATGAATATTTAATTCCACTGGTAACTGCCATTCTTTTTCCTCCCATGAACTTGACTGTCTTAGCTGTTATATATATATGTGGATTTATTCAGTGTTTGTGTTTTCATAACTATTTTTGTATTCATTTGGTGCATTCATTTTGTATTTATTTGTCCTCCAGATTTATCTTATTTCATGTAATGGGATTTCTGTCTTTGTAATGGCTAAATAACATCCCGTTGTATGTGGGCTTTTTCTGATTTTTGCTGCTATAATGAAATCACTGAGTCTGAATAATGTATAAAGGAAAGGTTTTTTAGCTCACAATTTTGGCATCTGAAAGACCAGGATAGATGTTCTATCTGATGTCCTCTGGGGAGGACATTTTAGCAGTATCATTTGCAGCAGAAATCATATGATGAGACAGGACATCTGCATTAGGGGTCAGGAGTGTATTTTATAATGGCACACTCCTCTGAGAACTCACTCATTCTCCCCATTCTGCCAGACCTGCATTAATCCCTTTTGCAGGCAGCAGCTGTAGTGAGCTAGTTGTTGTTTCACTCTGCGCTTTACATGTTTTGGTCCTTCACTTCCAAAGTAACCACACTAAGGGCCACACTTCTGAAATATAAACCCTTGGGAACAAACCACAACAAATCTACAACCAGATTTTGTTAACACTCTTGGGGTGCTTCTACTCCTTTTCTACTGTGAATCATAATAGTATGAACATGGGTTTACAAAAACCTCTTCTGGGACAAAAGGGGGAATGGGGGAAAGAGATATATGTATGTATATAAGCAGGATGGTTTGGACAACTGTATTGTGGATTTCTGCTTGCCTATGGAAAGGAGCAGGAAATGCTTAATTTGTTTTATCTCCTTTTTTCAATTGTTTCTCCTTTTTCTCTTAATTTCTTATATGTTTCTTTTTTTCTTCCAATTTTTCAGGTATTTATCTGGTAATATGAATAACTGGTTGGAAGACAGCACTATGCAATATAACATACTGTGAAATTTATATTATTTTGTTAAGTGAAATTCTGTATCCCTTGTAATTTTTCTGTTTTAACACTATTTTGCACTGTTTAAAAAATTAAAAAAAAAAAAACATCAAATTAAACAAAAGCAACCAAATACCTCTTCTGGAATATCTATTCAATTATGGCATACATACCACCAGAATTGGGGTTTATATAGCCTGGGGCTCACAAGATTATCCTGCCACAGCCTCTCAGATGCTGGATTTACATGTGTGCACCACAACAGCCAACTGGAATTAACTTCTTGAAATAATTTTTGATATCACCTACAATAATCATGTGACTTTTTCTTTTATTTTGCTCTTTTATTGTGGTGTGCATGAACTGATGTTATCTTTATATTCCAGAAATAAATCTCATATGATTATGGTTAATGATCAATTTTAATGTGTTTTTGATAGTATTTTGTTGAGGATTTTATACCAAATCCATTAGAGATTGGCTTTCTCATGAAGGTAATCCTCCCTCATAGAACAAGTGTTCAATATTGTAGATGATTCAGAGTATGTTTGCTTTAGTTCTTTAAATGTGTGGTAGCACTCTCCCCCAAGATAGGTAGAGTAGTCTCTTCCTTTGTTTCTCAAAACATTTTTTATACTGATCTCACTCATCTTACTCTGATAAATGCCTGTCTGCTGTGAATAACATGAGCATTGTGAAATAAAGTCACCCATTACTGGTCTTCTGGCAACAAGTGATAAGACAGATCATCTGCTTTGGGTTGTTCTTGATCAGTGAACCATCTCATGGTTTGTGCTTGGGGACCCTTAAGAGTTGGTATCTATTTTCATTTTTCTTTTTTATTTCTGGTTTATTTTTCAGTTTCAGAGATTTGATTAATGTTAGACTTGTTTCTTCAAAGCTATTTCTATTTCCTTAGCCAAATAATCATCACTTTGGGCCCATTGTTTTTCCTAGGTTGCTATACTTTTTTTTGTTGTTGTTGTTGTTGCTATACTTTTGATAAAAGCTAAATTGACTTTCTGTGTGGGAACAGAATTAATACATCGTCTCGGTTATTTCAAGTTTTTTGTTTTCAGTTCCTACTTAGAACATTCCTACACATACTCTCTTATAATATATCTATATAATATATAAATAGATTTTGTTAAATATACATAAAATTTATAGGTTCTCAATTTGATATATTTCATTAAAGATACTTTAGCAGATGTGAATCTGCACTATCACACTGCTACCCTATTAATGCTGTTCCACCTTCTCCCCCAGCATACATATCTGAACATTCATTCCCATAGTTAAAAATGGGACAGTTTTCTCCCATTTGCTACGTATGTTTCTCTTTTACAAAGGTAGCTATATTAATGGACCCTGTCGCTTACAATTCCAGAGAGTTACCAGGACCAACCTTGGCTTTCTCCTGCCCCTTATTCCTTGCCCTACATATTTCTTTTCTTGTATGCTGGCTGTTTCTCATGCACTTCATTGATCTGGATGCAATGCACTGTTACTTCTTCTTTTTTTTTTTTTTTTTTTTTGCGGAACCGAGGATTGAACTCAGGCCCTTGCACTTGCCAGGGAAGCGCTTATTCCACTGAGCCATCTCCCCGGCCCTGTTACTTCTTAATATATATCTGTTATTTGGCACACTGCAGTAAGCACAGAGGATTCCTACACTAACATCACAGTATAAATAAAGACACCTATTCCCCCTTTAGCTGTTCTCAGAACACTAAATATGTCCAGTGTTGATGACTCAGGTAACATTTTCTATAAGGAGTGCCTGATTGGCACTGTTACAACACAGCTCTTCTCTTTTGAAATATTACTTTCCATGCTTCTTGTATTTGCTGACTTGTTATATAATATTATGTACTGTCTTTGTATCTTTGAGAACATTGTTGAGCCTTCAGTATATGAATCCTTTTTCGCTCACTTATACTCTATAAATTAGGCTCTAAAAACATAATTCTTACCTCTATCCTAAATTACAAAGTAATGATAGTTTTTCTTGAGGTTTTTAAAAAATAATGTGAAATGAATAAAAGTAACTATAGTAAATATTTCAAGGTCCTTTTGTTTAATAAGACTGAGTGAGCTCTCTTCTGTACTTTCTATGCTGAGAGGATCCTTTTATGTCTCATTTACCCCCATCTTCCACTAAAAATACCATAGGGTAGTATGTGTAAACCACAAAAGATGTATTTCTCACCACTTGGGGACTGATAATTACAATAGCAAGATAACCATTGAATAAGTATATGCAATGTGAGTGTTTTGGTCATACTTTGTTGCACACTGAGCATTTCTGCAGTTGATGTGAATTACATATAATCAGACTTATTCTTTGTTTTCTTAAAATGTAAAAATCGTTTTATAACTATTTAGTTACCATTATTTCTTTTGGTTTAGTGTCATGTGTTTCAGTAACACAATTTATTTACCATCTGTAATTAAATAAAACCCAATTATTTTATGTATTTCCTAGATACTTCTCTTCAATCTGTCATCAAGGAATTTCCTCCAAAGAGGAAAAGTGATACAGGAGAAATGTTCCAGTCAGTAATGTTGGAAAGACATAAACTCCATTGTACTGAAGAATTTTACTTCAACAAAATCCAGAAAAATATATGTGATTTTGAGATTCATTGGAGAGAGGATAAAAGATCTAACACAGGATTATGTGGGAATCAAAAGGAAAATTTCACTGATACAAAGGATGAATATAGTAGAAGGGGTACAGAACAGAAACATACTAAAAGTTGGTTTGGAGTAAGCTTTCAGTCATGTCTACCTGAACAACAGCTATTTGAAATAGAAAGGAATATTAGTCAGCGGAACTACACTGAAGAGTCTATCAGCAGTGATTCCTCAGTTTCATCTCACCAAAGAAATCCTTCTAGTGTCAAAACAAACATTTTTCATGATGATAAAAATGATTATCTTGATTCTTTATTTTTCACACAAGAATCGGTTATGTCCATTGATACAGAACCATACAAATGGAATGAGTGTGACAAATCTTTGAATCAAAGAGCATGCTTTGCTATGCATCAGGTAGTCCATGCTGGAGAAAAACAATTTCTATGTGAGATGTGTGGAAAGGTCTTCAGTCAGACATCACAACTGGTAAGTCATTGGAGAATGCATTCAGGAGAAAAACATTTCAAATGTAATGAATATGACAAAGATTTTACTCAGACTTCACACCTACCAGATCATCAGAGAATACATTCTGGAGAGAAACCTTTCCAGTGCAATAAATGTGGCAAGGTCTTTGGTCACAGTCGCTACCTTGCACAGCATCTGATAATTCACACTGGAGAAAAATCTTACAAATGTAATGAGTGTGACAGGGTATTTACCCGCAAGTCCCACCTAGCAAATCACCAGGGAATTCATTCTGGAGAGAAACCTTTCCAGTGCAATAAATGTGACAAGGTCTTTAGTCATAGTCGCTACCTTGCACAGCACCTGATAATTCATACTGGGGAAAAATCTTACAAATGTAATGAATGTGACAGGGTCTTTAGTCATAGGTCATACCTGGCAAATCATCAGAGAACCCATACTGGAGAGAAACCTTATGAATGTAGTCAGTGTGGTAAACTGTTCAGTCATAGGACATCCCTAGCAAGACATCAAAGAGTCCATACTGGAGAGAAACCTTATGAATGTAACCAATGTGGTAAAGTGTTCAGCTGCAATTCACACCTTGCAGAACATCAGATAATTCACACTGGACAGAAACCTTTCAAATGCAGTGAATGTGGCAAGGTGTTCAGTCGTAGTTCCCACCTTGCACGTCATCATCGCATTCATACTGGAGAGAAACCCTATAAGTGTAATGAATGTGGAAAGGTGTTTAATCAGAATTCATACCTTATATGTCATCGAAGAATTCATACTGGAGAAAAACCTTACAAGTGTAATGAATGTAGCAAAGTATTCAGTCTAAACTCATCTCTGGCCCGTCATTGGAGAATTCATACTAAAGAGAGAGCTTATAAATGTAATGAATGTGGCAAAGTCTTCAATCAGATATCACACCTTGCAAATCATTGTACAATTCACAATGGAGAGAAACAGTACAAATGCAATGAATGTGGAAAAGTGTTCCATCAAATTTCACACCTTGACCAACATCATACAATTCACAGTGGAGACAAACCTTTCAAATGTAATGAATGTGGCAAGGTGTTTAGTCGAAATTGCTACCTTGCGCAACATAGGCGAATTCATACTGGAGAAAAACCTTTTAAATGTAATGAATGTAGCAAGGTCTTCAGTCACAAGTCATACCTAGCAAAGCACCAGAGAATCCACACTGGAGAGAAACCTTACAATTGTAATCATTGTGGGAAAGTATTTGATGAAACTTCACACTTTGCCCAACATCAAACAATTCACAGTGGAGAGAAACCTTTCAAATGTAATGAATGCGGCAAGGTATTTAGTCACAATTGCTACCTTTCAAGACATCTGATAATCCATACTGGAGAGAAACCTTTCCAATGTAATGAGTGTGGTAAGGTTTTCAGGCACAAATCATACCTAGCAAGTCATCAGAGAATCCACACTGGAGAGAAACCTTACAAATGCAATGAATGTGCTAATGTTTTCAGGTATAGGTCATCCCTAGCAAAGCACCAAAGTATTCATACTGGAGAGAAACCTTAAGTATAATGAATGAGTTAAGATCTTTACTCAAGGAGGAGAAAAATAGTTAATAAATTCAGTGGTATAGCAGTGCTGTTAGTGTGTGTTGAAGCCTAACTAAGCATGTCATCCATACTGGAAAGTGTCAGGCATGGTCTGTGAAAATTCTGAATTTGGAATTCATTGGATATTAAATCCTGAAAACAACTGAGAAATGTCGCAAAAAGTCTTCAGTTTTTGAGCCTTGGAAAACACTGGACAGTTTCTGTCGGAAAAATAATTTTCATGTGTTTAATAAGGCAAACCTTGAGTTACCTGTTAACCATAAACTAATCCACAGTGAAGAGAAACCATACCAATGTGTTGAGTAAAATAATGGCTTAAGGTGAAAATCTGACATTACTATGCACCAGAAAATTCAAACTGGAGAGAAATCTAACAAATAGAATGAAGGTAGCAAGTCTTCAGTATGCACTCAATCCTCTGTACACATCAGAAAATACATCAACAAAAACGTTAGAAGAATGGAATCATTTTGGAAAATCTGAGTTCAGACTCAATTCTGTACACATCAGATAACACATACTGCAGTATTATCATGGAAATTAATAATTATGGATATTCATGTAAGTCTCCAAGCGTGTTGTCTCAGCCACCAGCCTGCTTGCCAGTGGAAGCGTTTCTCTTCAGGGAACTCAGTTCAGGATCTCAGGCTGTCATCCACAAGCACAGGTAAGGAGATAGGTCAAGGAATTTTGCAGGTCTTGGGGATATCTGGAGACACCTATAAATTTACTTGGGACACTTCAAAGAATTCTGCTCATTGAGGTGCAAGCTTGCCAGAGAACTATAACCACAGGTGCTCATTGAGAACTTGCACCTGTCCTCTGCCTTCAGTCCATCCCTATGAAAGGGACACACTTCTCTTTGGGCCAAAGGTCTTATTGCACTCTGCTTAAAGCCAGGCACAATAAATTCTATGCCATGTTGCTTTTGAACAAACCTGGTGGTCTCTGCTGCTTACATATGTTACATTTGGAAGCCAATACCCCGGAAGGGAGACAAGCTGTTCTTTGAAAGGCTTTAAGTTCTCTTGGTCCTCTCTACCTGCTAAGACCACCTGGCAGTGTCCTCAGATCAAGGGGCCTGTAGCTGTTCAGCGTCTGACAGATCGTGCTGGGCATTTCAGATTGGGTAAGCCCTCAATATGCTTTTTTTTTTCTGGCTGCTAAGAAACCCAGGCAGCTCCCCACTTCCTGTTACTCTGTGCCTTTAAAGCCCCCTTCCTCTTATTGTGTGGGCAGCTGTTTCTGCTGCTGAAGTTGCTGTCTCTCTTAAACTGAGCCCCCTCTTCAATGAAACTCCTTCCTTCCTTTTTGTGGTGGACTGCCTCACAGTTCTGCTGTCTTTTATCCCCTGAGACAGAAAACCTGTCTTCACCTTCCAGGCCCATGTAACCTAGTGTTAGTCATGGATAGACCTTCCCCAGGGAGACTGGCTCCCATCACTGATTGACTAAGAAGTATGACAACTGCCTACTATCATTCCTTTGTTTGCTTATGGCCTTGACTTTAACTGAAGACATTCATTTCTTTCTTTTTTTCTTTTTTTTTTTTTTTTTTTGTGGAACCAGGGATTGAACTCAGACCCTTGCGCTTGCTAGGGAAGTACTTATTCCACTGAGCCATTTCTCCGGCCCCCAACTGAAGACATTCAGTATAGGCTGTGCTGCCTCTCATTTTCCCTTACGAGGTGTGACTATTACATTTTTCTGCTCTCAGAAATTCTTACTCTCCCACACTTCTCTGTACTCAAATAGAAAACTGTCCACCTCTCCCTACCTCTGCTGGCCTGCCTTCTGCAGATTCCCGAACTTCTCTTCCCTCTTGATCTGAAACTCAAATGACTATTGGTGGCCAGAACATATTGCTTTTAATTTTTCATAGCAATTAACAGGAGATAAGAGTTCACTTTTATTTCTTAATTTCTAAATTAGGTAATCATGTCATTCTTGTTTGTCATCATTTGAGCCAGTTATGAGTCACTTGATGTTTCCTTAAAGGATGTTTTGCTCTTGTAGATAAGGTATTATATTTGTGTTATTATATATTACATTTAGACTTGATTAAAGTGTTTTGACTTGTAACTGCTGTGGGTTTAATCTTATCATAGACAGCTATATATACTGTGGGACTCCTACCAGTTAAATGACACTAGTTTGGTGCCCATTCTTAAGTCTTGGATGACAGGTTACACTGAAACAAACTGGCTTGGCTCCCCTACACAGTACAGGAAATGTGAAGTCTGTCTTGCCTTAGTTTTCTTTCTGGTCTGGTCTCTTGATCTTTTTCCACTGTTTATGTTTTCTCTTTTCAGAGGCATGTGAGTTATAAAAAAAAAAAAAAAAAAAAAAATCATCTGTCTATATGCCATCCAATATAGCAGCTCTTCACTATAAAAAGATAACATGACTGTTCTCTGTCCTAAATGTACTCCAAGATGTACTCCAAAATCAAAAGGTATTAGACATTCTAACAACAAAAGATTACTTGTGCCATTATGAAAGCTAAATGCTAGCTATACAGTCCTGATCCTTCCAATGTCTATGGCTATTCAAGGTACTAAAATGACAAGTTAGGACCATATAAGATTCTAAAATTCCCTAGAGCTCTCTATGCTCTTTATAATAGACCATTGATTATACATTTTCTGTAGAAATTATTCTCAAATTTTACTACAATTTCAATTGTCTTTTACCTCAGGGCCAAAATACTTTCCCTTCTGCTTGTGTTTACCATAGCTCTAATTAAACTCCCTTTCCCTCTACTCCAACCTTTAGCCAAATTCTTGTGACTGGCAGTTTCACTCAGTCCAGATCACCTTTACAAAACCTTAATGTTAATTCATTTTTTTTACTAAACTACCATAAGTCCACCCTACCTGAAGATTGGCTCTTCGTTTCCATGTCCACAGCAACCTATGTATAACCATTCTAGTCCCTGCTCAGGTCAAAATTTCCATGTCTTCTCAAACGTTTCTCGTTTTTTGTTTTTTGTTTTTGTTTTTTTTTTTTCCAAACCAGGGCTTGAACTCAGGCCCTTGCACTTGCCAGGGAAGCGCTTATTCCACTGAGCCATCTCCCCAGCCCTAGTTTTCTCAGTTTTTAACAATCATATGCAAGCAATTACCAGCAGACAGATACTGATGTTGATTTCTCTGTGATAACAACCCTGTTGAAGATTTCTCTCCATAGGTTGTCCACTCAGCCCATGTGACCTGCGAGAGCTGACACTCATTTCCTTTTTTCTTTTAAAATAGCTAGAAAGTGGGAGTGTAAATCTCTAGCTGGAATTGACTCTTCTAGGTGTCAGTCTGCTTGCCAACAGAAGCACTACTCTGCAGGGAACTCAGTTCATCGTCTCAGGCTGTCATCCACAAGCACAAGAAAGGAGATAGGACAAGGAATTTTACAGGTCTTGGGGACATCTGGAGACACCTGAAAATTTACATGAGACACTTCAAAAGACTGTGCTTACTGACATGCAAGATGGTAATTTGTAATAGTAGTTTCATGCTTGGAGTGCCTGTCATTCTGGTCTTCTGAATATGGGCTGCTTGTCATGACATGCCAGTTGCTGCTGTGTTGTCTCTCAGGTAGATGATTGTTCAAAAAGAAGGGGGTGGTGAATGAAAGCAAGAGACAGGAAAAGAAATATTGTGGGACTGTCCTTCAAGGTTGTATATGGTGAGATTTTTAGACTTATGTGTAAACATAAGAAGTGTATAATTCTGTATGCCTATTTTCAAAATATATTCTAATTTTTAAATGTTTTTTTTATCATATTCTGTAGGGACTTAAAGTTCAACTTATAAATACCTGATGAAAAATACCTGTTCCATATTATGCCTAAGATGTTTGATATGCAGACAGATAGTGAGGCTAAGCTTAACAGCCTAAGTTGTATGGTAATAACAATAAGCTTGTCTTCTGGATGGTTAACAACCTAAGTTTGCAGACCAAAATTAGAGAAAAAGGAGGGCTGCAAGGAAAGCCAACATTTTGGCCCTAGCCTTCCAAGGTCACTTAAGACTCAGGACATATGAGAACTTGTACTGTAATGTCATGTAAATCGGTAGTGTCCCAAATTTTCTGATCAAGGAGATTATGGGGCCAAAGAGGAAAGTGATCGATGATGTAGAGTGTGCCTAAGGAGAGTCACATGGAGAGAAAAATTGTCTTAGGCTTCTACAGAGAGCACATTGGCCAAACAATGGCTGTGACTCATCCACATGGCTGACACTGACAAAGGATCTACAATCTGAGGTACAGGATCTCAGGATAAATCCTGAGGGGATTTGACTGACCATATCAGACCCAAAAGCCACAACTCTTGTTGCATAGGTTCTGCTTTACCTTGGTCTTAACCATCCAGTAGAAAAGTATGAAGATGAAATATAGGAAGGAAAGTCACGCTGTTATGCTGAGCTGTGGGGGACTCATGTCAATAATTTCTGACATTGCCAGTCAAGCGGAAGACCCAATACTATTATGGGCTACTGGAGTCTTTTAGAATATTTTGCTGAGTTTACACACCTATAATATTCAAATAACGGAACTTAAAAAACCATATACAGATGAATGTCCGTTTTGTATCTGTATTCAAAGCAGTTAGGATAGATATATAGTTACATTCTCTTAATGAATAGAGTGATTTGTTCTAATGGTGTTTGTAAATAGGATATCATGCCTGCATCTTGTACAGCAATTGACCACTAGGAAGAATGTATGCAATGTGTTAATTATTGAAACTGACCTATCAATTTGATTTAAAACTATCTCATTGCTACTTGTTTATCAATAAAATTATAGGAAAAAAATAAATTCTAGAAAGCAAAAAAAAAAGATTATCAGAGAACTTTAACCACAGATGTTCATTGGCTTCTTCCTGCCTAATATGCCCTGCCTTTTCTTGGTTCCTATAAAAGAACACACTTCTCTTTATTCAAGGCAAGTGTGATCATGTTCTACATAATGTGATCTCTGCTGCTTATGTATGTTTCAGTTTACACCTTGCATAACACTCAAATTTGTATATGAGTGATACTTTACAAATACAGTGAGGGCCAAAACTTTATGATGAATTCTAGCAATATTCAGCATCCCCATTCCTACTAAAGAGTAGCAGTTATTTAAAAACACAATTATATGTACAGTGGATTTCCCAGCTTTAAAATTCACTAGGCATTAAATGATGTATCTTTGAGGAAGCTATAGAAAGGGAATAGGCAGGTGGTTATTCACCAAGCATCAAATCTGTTGGACATAATGGCAGAACTGGGGAGCAAATTTACAGATATATTCAGTATTCTGAATCTATCAAATGTTCATTTTGTTATAAAACGTTTGTTCTGTAGTGAAGCCAGACAAATACAGTGTACATAGTTAAGTTCACTTTTGCTACCTGTGGTGGTATATGCGTGTAAGCCCAGAACTTGGGAAGCTAGGGCAGGACTTCTACAAATTTGAGGCCAGCCTGGGGTACATAGGCCACTCTGAACTGACCCTTTCTCTAATACAAAAGAGTTAAATCTTTGAAGATGAGTCCTGGGGAGTCTTTAAAAAATTTATACTGCAAAGAACTCTTACAAACAATGCTATCATAAATTATTTAACCAGTTCTCACAGCATACTCCATATGATAGAATTAATTTGAGGAATGTCTAAGGATAAATTTTCATTTTGCATACTGCAGAATAATGACAAGTTAACTGTCATGGTATTTGTCAAAGGTGCAAGGATATCTGTAAATTGCCATCTACTTTCAGGTTATGAAATGGTCCATTCTTTGAGAATTTTTTGGAAAGCCACACTATATTTGAATTTTAACATGAACTTTCCAAGCTGTTGATGTGATTTTCTTACTAGATATTTACAGTTGCAAAAAGGCTTCAGTAAAATGAAAGCTCTTACCTCATGAAGTGAGTATTCCATGTTCCTTTGGAACAAGGTTACTGAATTAAAATTTAATGCTGTTTCCACTAAAGTGTTTTGGGGCCTGATGTCATGGTGCTTGTCTGTAATTCCAGTCACTTTATAGAATGAAGAGGATCACATTTAGTGCCACTTGGGTAACGAGACTATGTGTGTGTGACTGTATCTATGTATATGTACCTAACAGTGATTTGAAGTTATAAAACCAGTCATTTGATGTCCTTTTAATTTTCCAGAAAGATGCAAAGTAACATCTGCCTCCAAATTGAGAGAGTACTTATTACTCAAACAAGTGCAGCTTGGCAACTAACTGAATTTATAAGGGCTTACTTACTCAGCAGAGGACAGCTTGTATGCTACTATACAGATTTCTTACCCCTTTTAGTAAGCCACTGAATTTATAGGCTTTGTGGTAATTGAAAAAATAGAGCCTGACCTAGTCCTAGCCCAGGCCCGGTGAATGTGTGGGAAAGCTTCCGGCTACCCTGTGCTGGCAGGGCCTACTGGTTCCAGCCCAGGTGCAGTGTGGGTGGCACCCTCTTCCACCCCCTTAGGACTCCCCCCACCACTCCACAGCACCTCCCCTATCCTGACCACCGAGTAGGAATTTCT